GCAAGAGTAAGCTAACTCAAACTATTGATAAAATTATAATGCAAATGATTGAGAAAGTGGAATGCAACAATAAGCCAAATCAAACTATCAATAAACTCTTAATACAAGAGTTTGGAAAGGGTTTCAAAACTTATATAGAAAAGCCAGAACAAGATTACAATTTGGAGATTGAATCTGAGCTTGAAAATAGAATTAAAGGTATTTTAACTATTTCCAAATTCACAGTTAAAAATCATGTTGTTACTAATAATACACAAATTGGGCCTACAAATGACGATATATAATTGGATTTATGGGGCAATATTTAAGATTATCTAACTTTTTAGCCATTACTTCTTCTTGATTATTAAAACCATGACTATTATATGGCTTTTGATTAATTTGATAAGAATATTTCCAAATTCTTTTTTCTTTAGGTTCTACCAATTTTTATTCACTTTTTATAGTATAACCACACCAATTACCAACAATTGCATTAATTGCTTTTATAGCCGATTTAAGATCCGGTATTTTTTTTGTGTGAGATTTAAATCCAAAAAGTAATAAAGATTGACTTTGAATTTCTATAAATTTTTCATGAGATGCCTCAAATGCAACTTTTACCTGATCATCAGAGAGAATGCATTTATCATCTATACCTGTAAAACCAAGTAACTGTAAAAGCTCTCGTACAGCTTCCCAATGATTCGCTAAATATGTTTTGCATAAATCTTTTGCTACCAAATTCTCAAAATTATCTTTAGCATTATAGCAGGTATCTTCCCATTGTGCAATATCTTTGGCCTTTAATTCTTCTAGTGCACTCTCTTCATCATAACCTTGCTTATAAAAATGAGATAGATGCAAGAAATGTTTTCTAGATTTGGGTAAACTAAAACATTCTACAAAATCTTTATCACAGAGTTTATTCCAGCCCTCGATGCTCATATTATTTCCATCATAAAGATTCCATATATAAAAATGCTTAAGTGCCATAATATCTGCAACTGAACGTTCTGAATCGAGTTTAAGGGATTTAGCTTTCTTAAGAGTAAGATTTCGAGAAGTGGCAATTGTTTCAAAATCTGTATTCCTGATAACTGATACTTCAGTCCTAATTTCATTACAAACTGTTTTATGAATTTCTATAACTCCTCGGCTCTTATCCATTTTTATTAATTTGAAACTTGCCCAGTCACTAGTCCAAATTGGGTTATTCGGCTATCGAATTACAGCCGATTAAATCCAAATTTATTAATAAAAGTTTATACTGAAGTTTTGTTGTTTGGTCCAATTTATACCACTCGGCACTTA